CTCCACAGTTCATACTCTTCACCAGCTCTACAACAAATTCCTAGTAGTTGACAAGAGACATAAAATCTTCATTATTGATTGTATTATATATTGAATAATCATTTGTGATGTCTGAAATGTCTGAATGCAACTTTTCAGTTCATCCGTGGTGCATATATCAGTATTCTTCTTAATCTCATCGAGCATGATGCCTTTCATCTTTGCCAGACAGCCACTTCTAAGGAGAGAAGCAAAAGTGCTGAACTTTCTCCATTTATTGACAATTTGTCTTCCGTGGACTGATGAACATCAAGGCTTTTAGAGACCCTTTGGTAAACCTTTGCAGCTTCATCCAAGTCAGCAATTCTTAATCTTGGGTTTTCTGAGAGCTCTTTTGTTTGAGACATGGTTTACATCAGGCAATGCTTCATGGCAATGGCAAAATAAAAATTGTTGTGAGTTTTTTATAGGGCATGGCAGCTCTAACCAACGCTTCTAATGTTGTCTCATTGATTGGACTCCAGGTTGGCTGACTTCTGACTCCAATTAGCTTTTAGAGAAGTCATTAGCCTAGGGGTTCACGTACTTTTTTATCCCTGTAATGAATGTTTACATGGTATGTTCAGTAAAAACAAAAAACATATAATTGTTTGTTCAGTATTAGTTTAAGCAGACTGTGTTTTTATATTGTTGTGACCTGATGAAGATCAAATCACATTTCATGAACAATTCTGCAGAAATCCAGGAAAATACCAGTGTTCATACGTTTTATTGCGACTTTATTAAGGATTACAACAATGCCACTTAAAAGCATGTTTCACATCTTCATTTAAAAATGTGTGCAGTTCATCCCTTATTTTGATGCTTTCAAACTTTGAACGGAAGGAAGTATCTCATTATTCTTGCTGATGAAAGTGTAATGAATAAAAAATATTAAGTTGTGATTTATGCATTACTAAAATAAAAGTTGGTTGCACTACAGAGAGAAGTTACAAAATAACTGCACGTGACAACTAAATAGTTAAACATGCCTCGGGGTTGGTGTAAATCATAAGACATCACAGAATTATACTCACTAATGATAAAACAGCTTTTTGCCACACAGTATTTTTCATTACTTGCATATCATTTTGCACTACTTTAATCCAATAAAGACATGTTAATAATATGATATTTCAATGTTGATCTAACTTACCACATTGTGCTAATATGCAAAGTGGCTGTGCCATCCAGAAAAGTATTGCACACATTATGGAACTCCATCTTTCATCAGTGATTGGCCACTTGCCTTAGTTATGACTTTACGTCCAAACTAGTTAGGTTCTAACCCAAGTTATTGTGGTGCAACAAATTTTAGTAGCTTATTTAGTTACAAACTACCTAGTAGTTACTATGCCACTAGTGTCACCCTTACAAAATTATTTAGGAAAGAACTTACACACGGGGTGAGAATTATACAGTGACAACCGGGGTGGTCAATCATTTTGTTTTCCAGGTCAAAAAGATAACCCAGTACAGCGCAGGTGCGGGCTTCAGTAAACTAAAATCTTACAATGCTTACAATATCCTTGCTTATTTAACCGATGTCTGCTGTCTGTAGATGATGATAAATCAAATTCATTATACAAGTTAATGGGTGCCCCATACCCCACGACAACTTTTGTACTCAGAGGTCACAGCAAAACTGCCAGAAAGTCAGACCCACAACAGCAGAGAGTCATGACCGCTCAAAACAGACCCGCATGAAAGAGCACAAACCCGACATTGCCGAGTTGTTTTGTGACGCGGCGTTTGTAGTCAAATTGGCATATCTTGCAGACGTATTCAACATGCTCAACAGCCTGAACCTCTCGATCAAAGGAGGCTTTGCATCTATCTTGGAAGCCTTCATGAGAACAATGGAGCTATAGAAAAGAAGGATACAAGATGGACCAACTGACAGCAAGTTAAAAACAGATCACTGGCATCTTTGATCTCTCACTCAGTAACAAACACACTCACCTGTTCCTCTACGTTGTTTATGATCACCAGATCTGATCCTCTACTTTGACAGTCCCATCTGCTGTCAGACCAAGTTTTCTTCTCATTGGATTTAAAGTAACAACTACATCCAAATCTTTCCCATCCTTCAGGACACCGCTTTCCTTCATGAAGCGAAACAAGCTTTAAAAACAAGTGTTTTAAAGACATAACTCTGCTCAAATAAATTATGGCAACACTTAATCATATAACATCACACAGTATAACTTCAAGTCAGTTGAATATCAATCTGTCCAGATTAAAAAGAAGAATAAGCGATTGTTGTTATGGCAGAAAATTGTGGCCTTTTTACATTTAATCTTTTATGTATATTCTTTTACTATTGACTTTTTAAATTTACTATTATTACTGTTAGTCTGTCCACATTTACTAGGGTTCAGGTCAGAGCTGTGAGATTGTTTTGGTGTTTTCCCATCTTGTTGTTCCTCTCCTCTCGTGGAATGTTCATTCAAGGCTGAGAGAGGATCTCTGTTCCCCATAACATAGAAACCTAGACTGTGTAAGTGATTATGCATCCCAGACACCCAAAGCTGCCCTAGGCGGCAGGTCTCTGGACCAGCTGTATATGTGTTTTAGTAATTCTCTGTTTATTCTCTTTTGTTATTAATTCTTCAAAGACAACGGTTAGTTGTTACACAATTATTTGCCTAATCCCTCACCAGCAAGATACAATTTCCACGACAATTGTGAATCAGTGTCACCTGTTTTGGTGCAAATGAAAGTGAAAACAGGTTCACTGAAGAGTAAAGCTAGACCTACCCCCAAAAAGGAAATCGTTTTGCAGGTGGTGGCCACTGATAATTGCTCTCTCCTTATCCACCCTGACAGATTGTTCTCTAGTTTTGTTCGTTTCATTGTCAATACTGGTAGCAAGACTACTGCCTTATGCAACCAGCCTATTCAGGTTTTACATGTAGTCCAGCTCCTCTGGGATGACACATCCATATGTGCTTATTTCTGTCAAAACTGTCAGAAACAGACTCTATGAGGGTGGCATGAGGGTCTGCCACGGCACCCCGTGTTCTTCACAGATGAGAGCAGGTTCACACTGAGCACATGTGACACATGTGAAAGAGTCTGGACCCATAACCTATGCCTATAACATTATCCAGCATGACCGGTTTGGCGGTGGGTCAGTCTGGAGAGGCATATCTTTGGGGGGTTACACAGACCTCCATGTGCTAGCCAATGGTACCTTGTGATGTTGGTGTTCACCGTTCATCACCCTTAATTTTGTCCTGATTTTTCCTCAGTGTCTCGTAACTGCTCTGTAACTGATTGATGTTCACCGCCATATCTTTAGAAAACAGTAGTAGATAAAAGAGTAAGACCACATGAAAATATTTATGTACCAGTATTTATTTATATAACCAGTGTGAAGTTAGATCATATGTATTATATTTTTGCTTATTTGTGTTTAAACCTTTCCCACCTGAAATTTGTCCCTGCAGCTCGCTGTAGTTCCTGTACAGTTTGTCGTATCTGGTCTGCAGCTGGTCTTTTTCCAAAGTGACTGTTGAGAAACAACATAAGAAACACCTCAACAACACCAACTCATTCACTATAAACTAAAGACAATTTAGTTACTTTCTCTGCATAATTAAAATCAATCTAATTCAAACCATAATTTAGTTATTTAATATTAATAATAATAACAATAATCTTTATTTGTAGAGCACTTTTCAAAAACAAGTTACAAAGTGCTTTAACACGTGTAAAGACAATAATACCCAAGAGACAATAATACAAAAACAATACAAGATAAAAGCATGAAAAACATTGAAAAGACTAAAATACAGATAAATATAAAATTAGTAAAATACAATAAAATAAAAGGGATAAAATAAAGTCAAATAAGATCGGGAAAGGCTCTCCTATAAAAGTATTTTTTAAGAAGGGACTTAAAAGAGTTCACTGACTCAGCCGACCTGATTTCCTCGGGCAGGCTGTTCCAGAGCCTCGGGGCCCTGACAGCAAACGCTCTGTCCCCTTTAGTTTTCAGTCGAGACTCTGGAACAGACAACAGACCTCTGCCCGAGGATCTCAAGGTACGTGCTGGTGCGTATGGGACTAAAAGGTCAGAAATATAACAAGGCGAGAGGCCATGAAGAGCTTTAAAAGTGATCAATAGAATTTTAAAGTCAATTCTAAAACATACTGGGAGCCAGTGTAATGAAGCTAAAATAGGAGTAATGTGGTCATATTTCTTTGTTCTGGTTAAAAGCCTGGCAGCTGAGTTCTGGACAGTCTGGAGTCGATCAATAGATTTTTGGGTTAAACAGGTGAAAAGGCTGTTGCAATAATCCAGGCGTGATGAGATGAAGGCGTGTAAAATGGTCTCGGTGTCCTTAAAAGTTAACATAGATCGAATTTTTGCTATATTTCTAAGTTGATAAAAACATGATTGAAATTTAAATTACTATCAAACCAAACACCAAGGTTCTTTGCCACAGGCTTAATGTGATTTACTAGGGAACCAGCAGATGGCAGTATTTGATTTGCCATCTGCTGGGACCCGATGACAGAAGTACTATGTAACACCATTTGCCCGATGAAGGTGTAGTACCGAAACGTATCGAAATATCAACTTGGTCTGTGAAAGTTACAACCCCCTCCCCCTGACTGTGGTGTCAGTCAGTAGTTTACCCACAAAAGTCTGTAGCAACCAAAGTATAAACCAATTAGATTCCACAGAGTGAATATTGTCTTAGTTTCTTTAGTATTTGTGTCACATGTAGCCTACATTATGCAGTGGTGATTGCTGGCTAATATGCGTGTGGCTGCCCAATCTCAAGTTTCTATTTGATCATGTGACGAGACGACAAGACTCCAAAATCCGGTGAAATAATATAATAATTATATTTATTTATAGAGCACTTTTCAAAAACAAGTTACAAAGTGCTTTAACAAGAGCAAATGCAATAAAACACTTAAATACATGATAAAAGCAAGAAAACACTTAAGAGACTAAAATACACATTAAAAGTAAATATAAAGTAGATATAAAATAAAATAAAATCGGTAAAGACTCTCCTATAAAAGTATGTTTTAAGCAGGGACTTAAAACTGACTCAGCAGATCACAGCTACAAACTAGCAGTCATGCCATTCAAACATAAAAGTTGTTTAAAAAGACACAGGAGAGAAGTACAAAAGGAGAAGGTCGCAAAACTCCCAAATTTAGGAGTTTTGGTTTTTTACTGAGGACATTGTCAAAGATTTTGCTTAATGCAGGGCTCATCAGATGCCGTTCAAATAGATGAGTACAAGTGCTTTTTCAGTGGATTTGGTGTGGCTGCCTGCCTGGTGTGACCCTGACTAAAAGGCTGTCAAGATTTGGCTTAATGCAAGGCTCAAATTTGCCAATATAGGGTTCCCTTCTACGCACGCTGTGGAGCCCAGGGCCCATCATAACAGCCTGCACTGGGGCCTGTTGTTACTACCTTACGCTACTGCATGTACGCCATTTATATTTGGTTCATGCATCTTGTGTGGATTATATGGATTTTGATTACCAACAAAACCCAAAGTGTATAAATGCAACCAAGCAGTCAAGAGCTATGGAAATCTGATTTGACCGTCAGATGCATCCTTCTCTCCAAAACACATTCATAATCTTTCCTCCTCCCAAGTGTAACTACATCAGTAAGTGGTCTGTGGAAGAAGCCTATGAGGTTTGTCCTTTATGATAATGGCTTAAATAACACTGAAACAGAAAGGAGCCGTCTTTCCCCTTGTTGTCATGTATGTGACATCTTAGGCTTTTTGAAAACAGGCTGTTGTAATATCCCTCTCTGCAGAGAGGGTAAGTGCACATGTAGTTGTGTGGATGACTTCCAACCAGACTGTTCACTGTGTAGGGCAGAGGAACAATATCTATGTAATCCAGGTTGTTCAGGATGCAACACAGAATGAACAACTGAAGAAATGTAAAATGTGAGTTGGTCTGATTTGACAAAGTTGATCCCAACACTACACACCCCTCTGTCCTCAAGATAAACAGGAAATCTATTTCTCACAGATCCAGTTCTTCTTCTGATCATAATATCCGCTCTCTGTCCATTTTCCTTGTTTATCGCAGCATGCTGCAGCGTAATAATTGTTGCTGTGCGGGTGTCCTGTTGCCCAGAACCTGTAGGAGAAATAAAATGTTGTCACTCCTGATTATTTTCAATTTGAAGGAAGATGTTGGATTTTTTATCATTTTTATTGTGAGTAATAAATGACAATTACATTTTTAATAACGTGTTTAACACATAATTCAGCTTTGTAAATTAATAAAATGTGAAGTAATATTTTTTTCATTTGTTTTCATAATTTTAAAAACAAACTTCTTTTATTAACAAAATGAATTGTGAAGGAAACTAAAAACTTTAAAAGCGTCTCACTTTAGTGTCAGCGGTGAGTCGTCCACCCATTTCCATCCTGTCCATTCTGTGAACTGTAGACCAATCCAGGAGTCTCCATCCTTGTTCAGCTCAGTGACACATTTCTAGTAGTTGACAAGAGACAATAATCATTTCTCTGTTCATAATTCAGTAATTCTATTATGGTACATGTGTGATGTCTGAAAAGTCTGAAGGAAAAAGAAAATCTGTGGCAACTTTTCAGTTCATCAGTGGTGCATAAATCAGAAACACTCAGAGGACTGATGGAATTCAGCTCCTCTTGTAGAATAACCATTGTTCAGTGGTGGGAAAAGTACTAAATGTTCCTACTTAAGTAAAAGTACAGATACCACACTAAAATGTTACTCAAATAAAAGTCATCCAGTAAAATACTACTCAAGTAAAAGTGAAAAAGTATCTGGATTTAAAAGTTCATAAGTATCAAAAGTAGAAAGTACTTTTCAAATCTATTGATCCTACAAAAAGCAACGTATCTTTTTAAATTTACTGAAGACAGTGCCGTGTAAAAAGTTCAAGACTTAGGCCAGATAAAAAAATCTTGAACTTTTACCAACATGTTTATTTTCAACAAAAATAGACAGCAGTTAGAAAAGAAAAGTTTCAGCGGAGAGGTTCAGAGATGGATGCAAAGTAGAGTCCCATTCTGTTACCAGAACAGAGACCCGAGTTGACATGAAGCCATGTAACAAGTGATTTTCACCTTGTTTTGGACCTCCTTTTATAGCTCTGTTTCTAAGCATTACATCACCTCTTGGCTCTCTTTCCTGCTGCTCCTGGATCTGTGGAAATCCCCAGATATTTGGTGTCTCTTATCATCTTCTGACCTTTCAGCATTTTGGTGGATTGTCACTTTTATTTCACTGACTGTTGCATTCTCGGCCCGGCTACGCTGCTCCCCCTCTCTGTGGCCTTGGCGTGCTTACTGCTGATCATAATATCTCAACCATAACCTGACTTTGTGGAATGTCCTGGTGAGCTGGTGTCTTTTGTGCTGTGTGCTAGAGACAGGGCGTTCTTACTGTGCACTGTCTTACTGTGCTCCCTCACTCTGCTGTGTGTCCTACCTCTGCCCAACAGCACAAATGCTTGCTTACACACACTCAGGTCCTTGTGTTGAGCCCAGGCAGTCAGATACAGAGAGGAGCACATACACACAGAGCTAGAGAGCTTTTACACTGTGGTCTGAACTTTACGTGTCTATATAGAGTATATATTTGTGGCAATGCGTCGTCATAGGAAGCCGACTGGCTGCAGGTCAAAAACAGAAGTAACAGATCACTGGCAGCTACATCTAAGATCACACACTCAGTAACAAACACACTCACCTGTTCCTCTTTGTTGTTTATGATCACCAGATCTGCTCCTCTACTTTGACAGTCTCTTCTGCTGTTATACCAAGTTTTCTCCTCATTGGATTTAAAGTAACAGCTGAATCCAAATCTCTTCCATCCTTCAGGACAACACTTCCCTTCATGTCAAATGAGTGTTAAAAGATGGATTTCATGTCATTCATTGTTAAATTGATAAAACTTGTTGTTTGACTTTCTTCTTAAATATCTTTCTTGCCTGCCACTTGTTGTTTACTCTATAAATACACTCAGGTTTTGTCTCATTTCTAACAGAAATAAACAGAGAAAACAGTTCAACAGGATAAAATAATTAAAATGAAAATCAATGGCAAAGTCAAGTTATATCAAGTGAACTGGTGTGATGCTGGTGTTCACTATTAGTTTTTAAACTTTTCTCAACATCAAGTTTGTCCTTCAGCTGCTTTACTTCATCCTGTAACTGGCTGTGATTTTTCCTCAGTGTCTCGTAACTGCTCTGTAACTGACTGATGTTGGCTGCTGTGTCATGAGAAAAAACAACAAGAGATAAAAGAGTAAGACAATTTCAAAATATTTATGCTCAATTAGCAGTGTGAAGTTAGATCCTGTGTATTTTGGTATTTGTTCTTTTTTTACATTTACATTTACTCATTTGGCAGACGCTTTTATCCAAAGCGACTTACATTTGAGGAACAACATACAAGCATCAACAGAGCATCAACTACAGATCTACAACTTACTATACATACTAGTAAGAGCAGCAATAAATGCTAGTAAGAGCTCACAGTACATATCACATTAATGGGGTAAATATCTAGGGAAGGAAGTAAGAGTTACAAAAAGTGCAATCAATACAAGATCATTGTAGGGGATAGAAGAAAAAGAGCACAGGAAGTGCATGTTAGAGATGTTACACGAGGAAGTGTTCTCGAAAGAGATGAGATTTCAAGAGCTTCTTGAAGGTTTTAAAAACCTTTCTTACCTGAAATTTGTCCCTGCAGCTCGCTGTAGTTGTTGTTCAGTTTGTCGTATCTGGTCTGCAGCTGGTCTTTTTCCAAAGTGACTGAAATATCTGGTGAGAAGCACAACAACATAAGAAACACACCAACAACACCAAATCATTCTGCATTTCCAAACAATTCATGCCTATGAAGCGGCATATAGAGCATGATCTGCCTCTATATTTCTTTAAAAGTTGACTCAGTCCCTTCTGTCCTCTTCTTGTTGCAGTTGTTGGTTTCTTTCAGTTTATTATCAGTGTCTGCTGGAACTACACAAACTGAGCTACAATGCAAGAAATGATGATAGTCCAGAGAGCTTATATGTGATACTCAGATGAGAACAAACATCTTTAGAGCAGTGCTGACCTAACTATATAAATTCTGTTTGTCTTCCTCTTCTGCACAGATCAACAGGTGTATGAACCTGTGTTGATTAGCTTTAGTGTTTTTACCTAAAAGTCTCTTGGACAAAACTACTGCAGAAAGTCACATGAAGTTTTTATAAAATACATGTTCATGCACCTGTTATGTTATCTAACAGAGAATAAAAGGTTTTTAACATTACAAAACACAGAGAGGGATTGAAGTTATGAGACTTTGGATTTAAAACATAATTCCTCACAGCGTATGAAGACTCCAGCCAATATCAGAAGATACATCACTCCCAGAGTCGCTGCAGTAAAACACCTTCTTCTGACACGATTCTTTGGAGTCTGAGGTCCTACAGAGACAAAATACAGAGAGAGCATTTAAATTATTCTTGTTTGAAGTTTGAAGTGGCCGCTGTGAACTGTGGAGTTTCATAGTGGCACATTGGCTGCATTACCGTAACCAGCTATGAGGTAACCGAGGTGCAGACCTCTGTAATTATATGTAGGCTATAACCTATCAATAGAAAAAAATCTAATAACAACTATTGATAACACGATCAACTTAAATGAAGGCTTCAGGACCCTGAGGACGCAGCAGATTACACTGTCAAAACCCTTATTTCAACTTGACAAACTGTTTCTCTGATCAGAAGCACATTAAAACGGCGTGCGTGCACTAACTGAGAGCCCCGCTGTTCTCTCCCCTTCAGGAGAGACGCTGTGCGCATTTACGCACGAGCCGCAGCAGCATGACTTCATAATCAAATCTCCCGACACGCCAACAGGATCGGTCAGAATCTAATGTTAACCAATGTTTTTTAGTTCTTCTACAGAAGGTCTCTCACACAGTCCAGGTTCAGACAGTAAATCTGAGTAAAGCAGCCGTCCTCCTGATCAATCCTGATCTCCATCAGAAAGTCTGAACATTTTAGAAGCTGGTTGTTAAAGTTGAATTCTGTTTCCTCTGCAGAGTTTTCTCTGTCTGCACCTGTCAAGTTTTTAACTACAAGGTTTTTTATTTTGCTGCTTAAATTATTATTGCTGTGACATTACAGTGCGAATGAAAACGTTTAAATGACTGACAGCAGCCTCTCTAATCATTAAAGTAAATAGTTAAAGAAAACACTCATAAATAATAAAGAAAACACCTGGAAAGCTAATTAGAGAATGGATGGTTTATGCACATGATTATTACATTATAGTCAGAGCCGATCCATGCATCACATGAATTCAGCTCCTATACTCTTGACAAAACAGTGCAACCAGCTGCTGACGTCAAATAATGAGGCTGTAATATCAACCAGAGCATCCTCTGAATTCAGCACCAACCTGCTGTTTTTTATGTTGTCATATAGTAACAATAGTGGCCATTATGCAGTCTGCACATGTCATTCCAACAAAGTCCTGTGATGCCAGTTGTAGGCTGTCAGATACATTTAGCCTGATACATGTTGTGAAGATTAGTATAGCAAGATTTCCCTGTTTGCACGACCTGATCATAGCGTGTTGTAGCAAACCTAGATTTAGTTATGCATTTTAATAAATTTATGAGAATTGATACCCAATTATGAATTAAAATTCATAAAATCAGAATTTCCTCGTTAAGGGCACCACCGGAGTTGTTATAATCCTAGAGTCTCCGGACCTCTAGGTAGTTTTGAATAATTATACAATTATTACTAGTGATCAGTTAGTTAATAATCGCTCAATTATCTTAAATCAGTCAGTCAGTCTCTTATCTAAAGGGTCAATTCTCTTGGCAGGGACGTAGAAATAGGCAACACACACAGCTCTTGATTATATTACAGTGAATTTATTCTCTAACTAATGTGATAAAAGGATGGTTGAATACAAGGAAAATAAACAATTGCTGAACAATGAGCCTGGAGGTTCGATTGTGGGAAGCATTTGACTCATACGGCATAGAAGAGCTAATGAAAGTAAACTAACTCTATGAGTTTAGGAGTTAAAAGGAAATCTCTGTCCACAGAACGTGTGTTAAGTCTTACTGTTTGTCGACAGCCTGCTTTTGGCCTGCTGCACGGGTCCCACGCTAGCTGCTGATCCTGGCTTTTTTCTAGGGATTCTCCAGGGTTTTCCGTGTCTGATTGAAAACGCCTCCTCTGTCTGGCAGTTCGGCTGTTTGCAGGTTTCCTTCATTGTCACTGGCGAGACCACGTGGCTTGGTCTGACCTCGGTGAAGTTGGCTCGACGAAAAAGGCTTAAAATGGAACTCGGTCGTTCCTGAATTAGTCCAGTGTAACTTAACAAACTGATAACTTTAACAAAACAAAAGAAATAAAGAAAATAAAACAAACTGAAGGCAGATCGATGTCGCGGCACTTCAGGTGTGTAGCTTGAAGCGAACAAAAGGCCGGACGCGTGCCGAAGCGTCCAGAGAGCCGAGAGAGAGAGCAGAGAAGAGTGGAAGAGAGAAGAGATTGAACGACGTCGCATGTCGCTCTTTTGTTGCCTGGGGCGTGGTTTCCCGAGGGACTGCCTCTGTAAACTTAATGTCTAAAAGAAAAGAAAATCTATTTTTTTATTTTTTATTTATTTATTTATTTAAACAGGAAAAGATTAAGAGCAATCGGTCCTGACTCAGTATAGAACTGATTTTCAGCAGGTTCCTGTTCTGCAGAACATGAATACCTCAAACACAACAAAACTCCAAGACCATACAATAACAAACACACAGCAACAAGCACAACAAACTACGATAGTAGTATTTGCACGTATTACAATCAAATATTTACCACAATCGAACCTCGATGGTCAAACGGTTGTACTGTTCTAAGTATTTGGTAACAGGAAACAATTGTGACATTATTGGTCAGGATATTTATACATTTAACGGCATTTCCGACGAGGGCATGTAATACTTATTTCGTCCACTTGGGGGAGCTCAGGTTACATGAGGAAAGCTTGGATTAATCCAAGATCGTCTCTCCTTAGAAACCCAGGACATTCCACAAAGTCAGGTTATTGTTGATTCATCCTTAAATTCAAGCTGGCGATTAAGAGTATAGTAAAACATTTCTTTATCATCATTTCTAAAGGAATTTTGTAGGAAAGTATTATGAACAAGCATTGATCACATTAGATGAAGGAGTGTCTTGCTGAAAACAAAAACACTGCAAAAGTTTCTTTCTTTTCAGCACTAATATCAAGAACAGATAGCAACAACAGTTAACATAACTACTCAAATAGAGGATTTAATTAAACTTAATGAAATGCTTTGAGTCTTTGGAGACTCCAGTCATCCAAAGTTTGGCTACCTGGATCATGTCACACTTGGACGAGACAGGGGTTTTCTTTTGATGTGGTAATAAAACAAAGAGCAAGGTCAGTTGCCACGGAAACATGTGGGGGGGGGCAGTTTTGATAGGCTGTTCAGGGAGATGCTACTTGCTGGTTCGTGTCCCTTTGTCAGTTTAACAGTCAGGCCCCGCGATATCAGCTTCGGAATCAAAAAGGTGCCAGTTTTATGGTCGGGATAGCACTTAGAGAAAGCAACTTTGACCCCTCCCCTTCTTCTCTGGGGAGGAGAGAAGAATTTGGAGTAGCTCCAAATTTATTCAATATAAAATGCACAAATCCACACCGTTGTTCACTACAGTGTCTGTCTGTATCTCTTATTTTATACAATTTTAGTGAGCCAAGCTGTGGAGAGAAAGACCTTGATGAACAGCCTGTGGTTAGTGTGTTCTTAACCAATCACAGTGCTTTGCCCACTTCCTGGTTTGAACCTTCATTACACACACACACACACACACACTCTCACACACACACACACACACACACAGAGGAAAAGAACAAATTCAGCTTTAATAAAAGTATTTTTTGCCAACAGGTCCCTTTGTAGGCCTGTGTTTTTCATTATAGATCATTAGTTTGTGTAACTTGTGTGATTTTGGTGTGAATTTCTGTAAATAAGCTCTATTAAAAGAAACAAAGTCTGGACCTCACTAATTTCTAAACCCTGGTTACGGCCTGACAGGCTGAGTCAGCATTCACAGCCTGTGTTCTTCTACAAACAAAAACTTGTATCTCCTCCCACAGTTTGATGTAGAAACTCCATTTAAACATCAAATTTTTCAACTCATTGACGACATTATTGCCTTTCACTCGTTGATACCTTGCATACATTCCAAAATATTCAAGGTTTTCCAGGACGTTTTCTTGTATTGAAGTGGATGAAGAGAAGGTTCAAATCCTCCTCATAACTACTCCACTTTGAAATGTCACTATTTCTGCATACTTTCAGCTACAGACTTCATTTAAACTTAATCTTAACTCGCCGTCATGCCAACAATTTTCACTGTTGACACGCAAATAAATTCGTTTTGATATCTTTGTGGGGATGTTTATGCACACAGGCTAGTTCTGCTGTCATTGTCCAGACTTGCACAGTCTGTTTCACTAACAGATTGAGGATTTTAGTCACGGGACGTCTGGATCTCAAGTTATCAGAGAAACAGGCTCAGCAACGCCAGCTATCGCTCGGCCGTCGCAGAATAGCGTCAGAATTTCAACATCTTTCAAACATTATTGGTATTATTCAAGCCAGCAATCAGTTTAGCGTCAGCTTTCAACAGCCCACATTCACTCTGCAGTTTCTTCAGAAACTGGATTCTCTAGTTACTCGTTGTCATTCTGTCAGTAAGAAAATTGACTCTTGTGGCACCAGATTACAAAAACAAGACACCTGATAATGACCCATAGTTAATGGTATCTGATTAATGAATTATACATTTTTATATAGCCACACAAAAATGTACATTAACGTCCTTCTTACAGCATCATTTCAGACTTACTTGCTTTTTGTGACCCAGGATCAGCGTGATGCTTTTCATCCTCTGAGATCTCCAGCTGATTCTCCTCTCCCGCTCTTCTGTTGTCTTGAACTCTTCCGGTATATCTCACATTCAAGCTTGAATCTGGTGCAGCGAGAATCCTTGCAGACATTTTGAAACACTGAAAACTTAGTGAACAGCTTCACTGTCTGCTTGTTTGTCTTTGGGTTGGGCAGCTTTCAAAAGAGGAAGTAACAGCAGGACACACCACTGACAGATGGACACCACAACATATGTATTATTGAAGACTTGACTTTAATTGAGGCATAAACTACATAAAACTATATTTAAAGCTGAAACATAAAGATGTTTTTTGTCAGTGACACTGAGGAAGTACATGGTTTTCACTCAACAGCAGGTTTGTGCTCACATTCACACATTTGTGCAAAGCTGCATTCATGTTCTCCATATAGTTTATTCACACATGCATCTCTGACACAGGAAATGTGATGTGTTGACCAGTTATTTTTGTTCTGTCTAGTAGATGAAATGACGTGACAAGTATTAATGGTTCAATGATGATAATAAACCTAAGATGTTAAACACATAACTGTTCTGTTGTAAGTTTATGAAGAAAACAAAAGAGATGATTGAATATCATCCTTACTGACACACATACAGGGAGGTGACTTATTATCAGTTCATGCATCTTGTGTGGATTCGATATCTTTTGATTAGCAAAACAGCCCAAGTGTAAATGCAACCAAGCATTAAAGATGGATTGAAATCTTATTCAAAATCAGGTGTATTCTTCTCTCCAAAACACATTCATAATCTTTCCTCCTCCCAAGTGTAACTACATCAGTAAGTGGTCTGTGGAAGAAGCCTATGAGGTTTGTCCTTTATGATAATGGCTTAAATAACACTGAAACAGAAAGGAGCCGTCTTTCCCCTTGTTGTCATGTATGTGACATCTTAGGCTTTTTGAAAACAGGCTGTTGTAATATCCCTCTCTGCAGAGAGGGTAAGTGCACATGTAGTTGTGTGGATGACTTCCAACCAGATGTTCACTGTGTAGGGCAGAGGAACAATATCTATGTAATCCAGGTTGTTCAGGATGCAACACAGAATGAACAACTGAAGAAATGTAAAATGTGAGTTGGTCTGATTTGACAAAGTTGATCCCAACACTACACACCCCTCTGTCCTCAAGATAAACAGGAAAGCTCTTTCTCACAGATCCAGTTCTTCTGATCATTAATCTGCTCGTCCAATTTCCTTGTTTATCGCAGCATGCAGCGTAATAATAGTTGCTGTGCGGGTGTCCTGATGCCCAGAACCTGTAGGAGAAATAAAATGTTGTCACTCCTGATTATTTTCAATTTGAAGGAAGCTGTTGGATTTTTTATCATTTTTATTGTGAGTAATAAATGACAATTACATTTTTAATAACGTGTTTAACACATAATTCAGCTTTGTAAATTAATAAAATGTGAAGTAATATTTTTTTCATTTGTTTTCATCTAATTTTAAAAACAAACTTATTTTAGGAAGAAAATGAATTGTGATGGAAACAAAAATCTTTAAAAGCGTCTCACTGTACTGTCAGCGGCGAGTCGTCCACCCATTTCCATTCCCATCCTGTTTGTGTCTGTTCTTCTGTGGCCTGTAGACCAATCCAGGAGTCTCCATCCTTGTTCAGCTCAGTGACATATTTCTAGTAGTTGACAAGAGACAATAATCATTTCTCTGTTCATAATTCAGTAATTCTATTGTGGTACATGTGTGATGTCAGAAAAGTCTGAAGGAAAAAGAAAATCTGTGGCAACTTTTCAGTTCATCAGTGGTGCATAAATCAGAAACACTCAGAGGACTGATGGAATTCAGCTCCTCTTGTAGAATAACCATTGTTCAGTGGTGGGAAAAGTACTAAATGTTCCTACTTAAGTAAAAGTACAGATACCACACTAAAATGTTACTCAAATAAAAGTCATCCAGTAAAATACTACTCAAGTAAAAGTGAAAAAGTATCTGGATTTAAAAGTTCATAAGTATCAAAAGTAAAAGTACTTTTCAAATCTATTGATCCTACAAAAAGCAACGTATGTTTTTAAATTCACTGAAGACAGTGCTGTGTAAAAACAAGACTTAGGCCAGATAAAAAAATCTTGAACTTTTACCAACATGTTTATTTTCAACAAAAATAGACAGCAGTTAGAAAAGAAAAGTTTCAGCGGAGAGGTTCAGAGATGGATGCAAAGTAGAGTCCCATTCTGTTACCAGAACAGAGACCCGAGTTGACATGAAGCCATGTAACAAGTGATTTTCACCTTGTTTTGGACCTCCTTTTATAGCTCTGTTTCTAAGCATTACATCACCTCTTGGCTCTCTTTCCTGCTGCTCCTGGATCTGTGGAAATCCCCAGATATTTGGTGTCTCTTATCATCTTCTGAGCTTTCAGCATTTTGGTGGATTGTCACTTTATTTCACTGACTGTTGCATTCTCGGCCCGGCTACGCTGCTCCCCCTCTCTGTGGCCTTGGCGTGCTTACTGCTGATCATAATATCTCAACCATAACCTGACTTTGTGGAATGTCCTGGTGAGCTGGTGTCTTTTGTGCTGTGTGCTAGAGACAGGGCGTTCTTACTGTGCACTGTCTTACTGTGCTCCCTCACTCTGCTGTGTGTCCTACCTCTGCCCAACAGCACAAATGCTTGCTTACACACACTCAGGTCCTTGTGTTGAGCCCAGGCAGTCAGATACAGAGAGGAGCACATACACACAGAGCTAGAGAGCTTTTACACTGTGGTCTGAACTTTACGTGTCTATATAGAGTATATATTTGTGGCAATGCGTCGTCATAGGAAGCCGACTGGCTGCAGGTCAAAAACAGAAGTAACAGATCACTGGCAGCTACATCTAAGATCACACACTCAGTAACAAACACACTCACCTGTTCCTCTTTGTTGTTTATGATCACCAGATCTGCTCCTCTACTTTGACAGTCTCTTCTGCTGTTATACCAAGTTTTCTCCTCATTGGATTTAAAGTAACAGCTGAATCCAAATCTCTTCCATCCTTCAGGACAACACTTCCCTTCATGTCAAATGAGTGTTAAAAGATGGATTTCATGTCATTCATTGTTAAATTGATAAAACTTGTTGTTTGACTTTCTTCTTAAATATCTTTCTTGCCTGCCACTTGTTGTTTACTCTATAAATACACTCAGGTTTTGTCTCATTTCTAACAGAAATAAACAGAGAAAACAGTTCAACAGGATAAAATAATTAAAATGAAAATCAATGGCAAAGTCAAATTATATCAAGTGAACTGGTGTGATGCTGGTGTTCACTGTTAGTTTTTAAACTTTTCTCAACATCAAGTTTGTCCTTCAGCTGCTTTACTTCATCCTGTAACTGGCTGTGATTTTTCCTCAGTGTCTCGTAACTGCTCTGTAACTGACTGATGTTGACTGCTGTGTCATGAGAAAAAACAACAAGAGATAAAAGAGTCAGACAATTTCAAAATATTTATGCTCAATTAGCAGTGTGAAGTTAGATCCTGTGTATTTTGGTATTTGTTCTTTTTTTACATTTACATTTACTCATTTGGCAGACACTTTTATCCAAAGCGACTTACATTTGAGGAACAACAAGCATCAACAGAGCATCAACTACAGATCTACAACTGACTATACATACTAGTAAGAGCAGCAATAAATGCTAGTAAGAGCTCACAGTACATATCACATTAATGGGGTAAATATCTAGGGAAGGAAGTAAGAGTTACAAAAAGTGCAATCAATACAAGATCATTGTAGGGGATAGAAGAAAAAGAGCACAGGAAGTGCATGTTAGAGATGTTACACGAGGAAGTGTTCTCGAAAGAGATGAGATTTCAAGAGCTTCTTGAAGGTTTTAAAAACCTTTCTTACCTGAAATTTGTCCCTGCAGCTCGCTGTAGTTGTTGTACAGTTTGTCGTATCTGGTCTGCAGCTGGTCTTTTTCCAAAGTGACTGAAATATCTGGTGAGAAGCACAACAACATAAGAAACACACCAACAACACCAAATCATTCTGCATTTCCAAACAATTCATGCCTATGAAGCGGCATATAGAGCATGATCTGCCTCTATATTTCTTTAAAAGTTGACTCAGTCCCTTCTGTCCTCTTCTTGTTGCAGTTGTTGGTTTCTTTCAGTTTATTATCAGTGTCTGCTGGAACTACACAAACTGAGCTACAATGCAAGAAATGATGATAGTCCAGAGAGCTTATATGTGATACTCAGATGAGAACAAACATCTTTAGAGCAGTGCTCACCTAACTATATAAATTCTGTTTGTCTTCCTCTTCTGCACAGATCAACAGGTGTATGAACCTGTGTTGATTAGCTTTAGTGTTTTTACCTAAAAGTCTCTTGGACAAAACTACTGCAGAAAGTCACATGAAGTTTTTATAAAATACATGTTCATGCACCTGTTATGTTATCTAACAGAGAATAAAAGGTTTTTAACATTACAAAACACAGAGAGGGATTGAAGTTATGAGACTTTGGATTTAAAACATAATTCCTCACAGCGTATGAAGACTCCAGCCAATATCAGAAGATACATCACTCCCAGAGTCGCTGCAGTAAAACACCTTCTTCTGACACGATTCTTTGGAGTCTGAGGTCCTACAGAGACAAAATACACAGAGAGCATTTAAATTATTCTTGTTTGAAGTTTGAAGTGGCCGCTGTGAACTGTGGAGTTTCATAGTGGCACATTGGCTGCATTACCGTAACCAGCTATGAGGTAACCGAGGTGCAGACCTCTGTAATTATATGTAGGCTATAACCTATCAATAGAAAAAAATCTAATAACAACTATTGATAACACGATCAACTTAAATGAAGGCTTCAGGACCCTGAGGACGCAGCAGATTACACTGTCAAAACCCTTATTTCAACTTGACAAACTGTTTCTCTGATCAGAAGCACATTAAAACGGCGTGCGCGCACTAACTGAGAGCCCCGCTGTTCTCTCCCCTTCAGGAGAGACGCTGTGCGCATTTACGCACGAGCCGCAGCAGCATGACTTCATAATCAAATCTCCCGACACGCCAACAGGATCGGTCAGAATCTAATGTTAACTAATGTTTTTTAGTTCTTCTACAGAAGGTCTCTCACACAGTCCAGGTTCAGACAGTAAATCTGAGTAAAGCAGCCGTCCTCCTGATCAATCCTGATCTCCATCAGAAAGTCTGAACATTTTAGAAGCTGGTTGTTAAAGTTGAATTCTGTTTCCTCTGCAGAGTTTTCTCTGTCTGCACCTGTCAAGTTTTTAACTACAGTTTTTTTATTTTGCTGCTTAAATTATTATTGCTGTGACATTACAGCGTGAATGAAAACGTTTAAATGACTGACAGCAGCCTCTCTAATCATTAAAGTAAATAGTTAAAGAAAACACCTGGAAAGCTAATTAGAGAAAGAAAAAAATAGGTCTTTGGTTGAGGGCATGTGGATGGTTTATGCACATGATTATTACATTATAGTCAGAGCCGATCCATGCATCACATGAATTCAGCTCCTATACTCTTGACAAAACAGTGCAACCAGCTGCTGACGTCAAATAATGAGGCTGTAATATCAACCAGAGCATCCTCTGAATTCAGCACCAACCTGCTGTTTTTTATGTTGTCATATAGTAACAATAGTGGCCATTATGCAGTCTGCACATGTCATTCCAACAAAGTCCTGTGATGCCAGTTGTAGGCTGTCAGATACATTTAGCCTGATACATGTTGTGAAGATTAGTATAGCAAGATTTCCCTGTTTGCACGACCTGATCATAGCGTGTCTGTCTGTATCTCTTATTTTATACAATTTTAGTGAGCCAAGCTGTGGAGAGAAAGACCTTGATGAACATCCTGTGGTTAGTGTGTTCTTAACCAACAACAGTGCTTTGCCCACTTCCTGGTTTGAGCCTTCATTATACACACACACACACACACATACACACACACACACACACACACACACACACACACACACACACAGAGGAAAAGAACAAATTCAGCTTTAATAAAAGTATTTTTTGCCAACAGGTCCCTTTGCAGGCCTGTGTTTTTCATTATAGATCATTAGTTTGTGTAACTTGTGTGATTTTGGTGTGAATTTCTGTAAATAAGCTCTATTAAAAGAAACAAAGTCTGGACCTCACTGAATTCTAAACCCTGGTTACGGCCTGACAGGCTGAGTCAGCATTCACAGCCTGTGTTCTTCTACAAACAAAAACTTGTATCTCCTCCCACAGTTTGATATAGAAACTCCATTTAAACATCAAATTATTGAACTCAATGACGACATTATTGCCTTTCACTCGTTGATACCTTGCATACATTCCAAAATATTCAAGGTTTTCCAGGACGTTTTCTTGTATTGTAAGTGAATGAAGAGAAGGTTCAAATCCTCCTCATAACTACTCCACTTTGAAATGTCACTATTTCTGCATACTTTCAGCTACAGACTTCATTTAAACTTAATCTTAACTCGCTGTCATGCCAACAATTTTCACTGTTGACACACAAATAAACAGTTTTTGATATCTTTGTGGGGATGTTCATGCACACAGGCTAGTTCTGCTGTCATTGTTCAGACTTGCTTGTCTGTTTCACTAACAGATTGAGGATTTTAGTCACGGGACGTCTGGATCTCAAGTTATCAGAGAAACAGGCTCAGCAACGCCAGCTAGTGCACAGTGATCACAGAATAGCGTCAGAATTTCAACATCTTTCAAACATTATTGGTATTATTCAAGCCAGCAATCAGTTTAGCATCAGCTTTCAACAGCCCACCATCACTCTGCAGCTTCTTCAGAAACTGGATTCTCTAGTTACTCGTTGTCATTCTGTCAGTAAGAAAATTGACTCTTGTGGCACCAGATTACAAAAACAAGACACCTGATAATGACCCATAGTTAATGGTAACTGATTAATGAATTATACATTTTTATATAGTCACACAAAAATGTACATTAACGTCCTTCTTACAACATCATTTCAGACTTACTTGCTTTTTGTGACCCAGGATCAGCGTGATGCTTTTCATCCTCTGAGATCTCCAGCTGATTCTCCTCTCCCGCTCCTCTGTTGTCTTGAACTCTTCCGGTATATCTCACATTCAAGCTTGAATCTGGTGCAGCGAGAATCCTTGCAGACATTTTGAAACACTGAAAACTTAGTGAACAGCTTCACTGTCTGCTTGTTTGTCTTTGGGTTGGGCAGCTTTCAAAAGAGGAAGTAACAGCAGGACACACCACTGACACAGATGGACACCACAACATATGTATTATTGAAGACTTGACTTTAATTGAGGCATAAACTACATAAAACTATATTTAAAGCTGAAACATAAAGATGTTTTTGTCAATGACACTGAGGAAGTATATGGTTTTCACTCAACAGCAGGTTTGTGCTCACATTCACACATTTGTGCAAAGCTGCATTCATGTTCTCCATATAGTTTATTCACACATGCATCTCTGACACAGGAAATGTGATGTGTTGACCAGTTATATTTGTTCTGTCTAGTAGATGAAATGACGTGACAAGTATTAATGGTTCAATGATGATAATAAACCTAAGATGTTAAACACATAACTGTTCTGTTGTAAGTTTATGAAGAAAACAAAAGAGATGATTGAATATCATCCTTACTGACACACATACAGGGGAGGTGACTTATTATCAGTTCATGCATCGTGTGGATTTGATATCTTTTGATTAGCAAAACAGCCCAAGTGTAAATGCAACTAAGCATGAAAGATGAATTGAAATCTTATTCAAAATCAGGTGTATTCTTCTCTCCAAAACACATTCATAATCTTTCCTCCTCCCAAGTGTAACTACATCAGTAAGTGGTCTGTGGAAGAAGCCTATGAGGTTTGTCCTTTATGATAATGGCTTAAATAACACTGAAACAGAAAGGAGCCGTCTTTCCCCTTGTTGTCATGTATGTGACATCTTAGGCTTTTTGAAAACAGGCTGTTGTAATATCCCTCTCTGCAGAGAGGGTAAGTGCACATGTAGTTGTGTGGATGACTTCCAACCAGACTGTTCACTGTGTAGGGCAGAGGAACAATATCTATGTAATCCAGGTTGTAATCCAGGATGCAACACAGAATGAACAACTGAAGAAATGTAAAATGTGAGTTGGTCTAATTTGACAAAGTTGATCCCAACACTACACACCCCTCTGTCCTCAAGATAAACAGGAAAGCCCTTTCTCACAGATCCAGTTCTTCTGATCATCATATCCGCTCGTTGTCCATTTTCCTTGTTTATCGCAGCATGCTGCAGGGTAATAATAGTTGCTGTGCGGGTGTCCTGTTGCCCAGAACCTGTTGGAGAAATAAAATGTTGTCACTCCTGATTATTTTCAATTTGAAGGAAGCTGTTGGATTTTACTTGAAATATTTTTATTGTCAGTAATAAATGACAATTTAACTTTTAATAACGTGTTCAGCTTAGTAAATTAATATAATGTGAAGTAATATTTTTTTCATTTGTTTTCATCTAATTTTAAAAACAAACTTATTTTAGGAAGAAAATGAATTGTGATGGAAACTAAAAACTTTAAAAGCGTCTCACTTTAGTGTCAGCGGCGAGTCGTCCACCCATTCCCCTCCTGTCCGTTCTGTGGCCCGTAGACCAATCCAGGAGTCTCCATCCTTGTTCAGCTCAGTGACATATTTCTAGTAGTTGACAAGAGACAATAATCATTTCTCTGTTCATAATTCAGTAATTCTATTGTGGTACATGTGTGATGTCTGAAAAGTCTGAAGGAAAAAGAAAATCTGTGGCAACTTTTCAGTTCATCAGTGGTGCATAAATCAGAAACACTCAGAGGACTGATGGAATTCAGCTGGTGTCTTTTGTGCTGTGTGCTAGAGACAGGGCGTTCTTACTGTGCACTGTCTTACTGTGCTCCCTCACTCTGCTGTGTGTCCTACCTCTGCCCAACAGCACAAATGCTTGCTTACACACACTCAGGTCCTTCTGTTGAGCCCAGGCAGTCAGATACAGAGAGGAGCACATACACACAGAGCTAGAGAGCTTTTACACTGTGGTCTGAACTTTACGTGTCTATATAGAATATATATTTGTGGTAATGCGTCGTCATAGGAAGCCGACTGGCTGCAGGTCAAAAAAAGTAACAGATCACTGGCAGCTACATCTAAGATCACACACTCAGTAACAAACACACTCACCTGTTCCTCTTCGTTGTTTATGATCACCAGATCTGCTCCTCTACTTTGACAGTCACTTTTGCTGTTATACCAAGTTTTCTTCTCATTGGATTTAAAGTAACAGCTGCATCCAAATCTCTTCCATCCTTCAGGACAACACTTCCCTTCATGTCAAATGAGTGTTAAAAGATGGATTTCATGTCATTCACTGTTAAATTGATAAAACTTGTTGTTTGACTTTCTTCTTAAATATCTTTCTTGCCTGCCACTTGTTGTTTACTCTATAATACACTCAGGTTTTGTCTCATTTCTAACAGAAATAAACAGAGAAAACAGTTCAACAGCATAAAGAATTAAAATGAAAATCAATGGCAAATTCAAGTTATATCAAGTGAACTGGTGTGATGCTGGTGTTCACTGTTAGTTTTTAAACTTTTCTCACCATCAAGTTTGTCCTTCAGCTGCTTTACTTCATCCTGTAACTGGCTGTGATTTTTCCTCAGTGTCTCGTAACTGCTCTGTAACTGACTGATGTTGGCTGCTGTGTCATGAGAAAAACCAACAAGAGATAAAAGAGTAAGACAATTTCAAAATATTTATGCTCAATTAGCAGTGTGAAGTTAGATCCTTTGTATTTTGGTATTTGCTCTTTTTTTAAAAACCTTTCTTACCTGAAATTTGTCCCTGCAGCTCGCTGTAGTTGTTGTTCAGTTTGTCGTATCTGGTCTGCAGCTGGTCTTTTTCCAAAGTGACTGAAATATCTGGTGAGAAGCACAACAACATAAGAAACACCCACAACACCAAATCATTCTGCATTTCCAAACAATTCATGCCTATGAAGCGGCATATAGAGCATGATCTGCCTCTATATTTCTTTAAAAGTTGACTCAGTCCCTTCAGAGAGCGTATGTATGATATTCAGATGAGATCAAACATCTTTGGTTTGCATTTAAAACATAATTCCTCACAGCGTATGAAGACTCCAGCCAATATCAGAAGATACATCACTCCCAGAGTCGCTGCAGTAAAACACCTTCTTCTGACACGATTCTTTGGAGTCTGAGGTCCTACAGAGACAAAATACACAGAGAACATTTAAATTATTCTTGTTTGAAGTTTGAAGTGGCCGCTGTGAACTGTGGAGTTTCATAGTGGCACATTGGCTGCATTACCGTAACCAGCTATGAGGTAACCGAGGTGCAGACCTCTGTAATTATATGTAGGCTATAACCTATCAATAGAAAAAAATCTAATAACAACTATTGATAACACGATCAACTTAAATGAAGGCTTCAGGACCCTGAGGACGCAGCAGATTACACTGTCAAAACCCTTATTTCAACTTGACAAACTGTTTCTCTGATCAGAAGCACATTAAAACGGCGTGCGCGCACTAACTGAGAGCCCCGCTCTGAATTCAGCAGTAACCTGCTGTTTTTATGTTGTCATATAGTAACAATAGTGGCCATTATGCAGTCTGCACATGTCATTCCAACAAAGTCCTGTGATGCCAGTTGTAGGCTGTCAGATACATTTAGCCTGATACATGTTGTGAAGATTAGTATAGCAAGATTTCCCTGTTTGCACGACCTGATCATAGCGTGTCTGTCTGTATCTCTTATGTTATACAATTTTAGTGAGCCAAGCTGTGGAGAGAAAGACCTTGATGAACAGCCTGTGGTTAGTGTGTTCTTAACCAATCACAGTGCTTTGCCCACTTCCTGGTTTGAGCCTTCACTGTGCGCGCACACACACACACACACACACACACACACACACACACACACACACACACACACACACACACAGAGGAAAAGAACAAATTGAGCTTTAAAAAGTATTTTTTACCAACAGGTCCCTTTGTAGGCCTGTGTTTTTCATTATAGATCATTAGTTTGTGTGATTTTGGTGTGAATTTCTGTAAATAAGCTCTATTAAAAGAAACAAAGTCTGGACCTCACTAATTCTAAACCCTGGTTACGGCCTGAGAGGCTGAGTCAGCATTCACAGCCTGTGTTCTTCTACAAACAAACACTTGTATCTCCTCCCACAGTTTGATGTAAAAACGTAAGTGGATGACATCATCAATAGAGTGAAGCAGCCTTGGAAAATCTCCTTCAAATCTTCTCTTTAACTCGCCGTCATGCCAACAATTTTCACTGTTGACACGCAAATAAACAGTTTTTGATATCTTTGTGGGGATGTTCATGCACACAGGCTAGTTCTGCTGTCATTGTCCAGACTTGCACAGTCTGTTTCACTAACTGATTGATGATTTTAGTCACGGGACGTCTGGATCTCAAGTTATCAGAGAAACAGGCTCAGCAACGCCAGCTATCGCTCGGCGGTCGCAGAATAGCGTCAGAATTTCAACATCTTTCAAACATTATTGGTATTATTCAAGCCAGCAATCAGTTTAGCGTCAGCTTTCAACAGCCCACATTCACTCTGCAGTTTCTTCAGAAACTGGATTCTCTAGTTACTCGTTGTCATTCTGTCAGTAAGAAAATTGACTCTTGTGGCACCAGATTACAAAAACAAGACACCTGATAATGACCCATAGTTAATGGTATCTGATTAATGAATTATACATTTTTATATAGCCACACAAAAATGTACATTAACGTCCTTCTTACAGCATCATTTCAGACTTACTTGCTTTTTGTGACCCAGGATCAGCGTGATGCTTTTCATCCTCTGAGATCTCCAGCTGATTCTCCTCTCCCGCTCCTCTGTTGTCTTGAACTCTTCCGGTATATCTCACATTCAAGCTTGAATCTGGTGCAGCGAGAATCCTTGCAGACATTTTGAAACACTGAAAACTTAGTGAACAGCTTCACTGTCTGCTTGTTTGTCTTTGGGTTGGGCAGCTTTCAAAAGAGGAAGTAACAGCAGGACTCACCACTGACACAGATGGACACCACAACATATGTATTATTGAAGACTTGACTTTAATTGAGGCATAAACTACATAAAACTATATTTAAAGCTGAAACATAAAGATGTTTTTTGTCAATGACACTGAGGAAGTATATGGTTTTCACTCAACAGCAGGTTTGTGCTCACATTCACACATTTGTGCAAAGCTGCATTCATGTTCTCCATATAGTTTATTCACACATGCATCTCTGACACAGGAAATGTGATGTGTTGACCAGTTATTTATGTTCTGTCTAGTAGATGAAATGACGTGACAAGTATTAATGGTTCAATGATGATAATAAACCTAAGATGTTAAACACATAACTGTTCTCTTGTAATTTTATGAAGAAAACAAAAGAGATGATTGAATATCATCCTTACTGACACACATACAGGGGAGGTGACTTATTATCAGTTCATGCATCGTGTGGATTTGATATCTTTTGATTAGCAAAACAGCCCAAGTGTAAATGCAACTAAGCATTAAAGATGGATTGAAATCTTATTCAAAATCAGGTGTATTCTTCTCTCCAAAACACATTCGTAATCTTTCCTCCTCCCAAGTGTAACTACATCAGTAAGTGGTCTGTGGAAGAAGCCTATGAGGTTTGTCCTTTATGATCATGGCTTAAATAACACTGAAACAGAAAGGAGCCGTCTTTCCCCTTGTTGTCATGTATGTGACATCTTAGGCTTTTTGAAAACAGGCTGTTGTAATATCCCTCTCTGCAGAGAGGGTAAGTGCACATGTAGTTGTGTGGATGACTTCCAACCAGACTGTTCACTGTGTAGGGCAGAGGAACAATATCTATGTAATCCAGGTTGTTCAGGATGCAACACAGAATGAACAACTGAAGAAATGTAAAATGTGAGTTGGTCTGATTTGACAAAGTTGATCCCAACACTACACACCCCTCTGTCCTCAAGATAAACAGGAAATCTATTTCTCACAGATCCAGTTCTTCTTCTGATCATTATATCTGCTCGTCCAATTTCCTTGTTTATTGCAGCAGGCAGCAGCGTAATATTTGTTGCTGTGCGGGTGTCCTGTTGCCCAGAACCTGTAGGAGAAATAAAATGTTGTCACTCCTGATTATTTTCAATTTGAAGGAGGCTGTTGGATTTTACTTGAAATATTTTTATTGTCAGTAATAAATGACAATTACATTTTTAATAACGTGTTTAACACATAATTCAGCTTAGTAAATTAATATAATGTGAAGTAATATATTTTTCATTTGTTTTCATAATTTTAAAAACAAACTTATTTTAGGAAGAAAATGAATTGTGATGGAAACTAAAAACTAAAAGCATCTCACTTTAGTGTCAGCGGCGAGTCGTCCACCCATTTCCATCCTGTCCGTTCTATGGCCCGTAGACCAATCCAGGAGTCTCCATCCTTGTTCAGCTCAGTGACACATTTCTAGTAGTTGACAAGAGACAATAATCATTTCTCTGTTCATAATTCAGTAATTCTATTGTGGTACATGTGTGATGTCTGAAAAGTCTGAAGGAAAAAGAAAATCTGTGGCAACTTTTCAGTTCATCAGTGGTGCATAAATCAGAAACACTCAGAGGACTGATGGAATTCAGCTCCTCTTGTAGAATAACCATTGTTCAGTGGTGGGAAAAGTACTAAATGTTCCTACTAAAGTAAAAGTACAGATACCACACTAAAATGTTACTCAAATAAAAGTCATCCACTAAAATACTACTCAAGTAAAAGTGAAAAAGTATCTGGATTTAAAAGTTCATTAGTATCAAAAGTAAAAAAGTACTTTTACAGTCAGATACAGAGAGGAGCACATACACACAGAGCTAGAGAGCTTTTACACTGTGGTCTGAACTTTAGGTGTCTATATAGAATATATTGGTGGATGTTTTGTAACACAGTTTTCACACAGATCTGCTTCTACATTCCTTCTACAACATGTTTACAGTGAATCACAACGAGGAAAACAAAAGTGGCAAGATGACAGGTGGATGTTTCCTTTTCTGTGTGGGGGATTAGCCTGCGTTATTGCTCTGCTGCTCTGGTAGTTTCCCCTTCAGACCGTCTGACAGACACAGAAGCACGTTTGGGACTGTATGTTAGGATGAGACAAGGAGGTGGAAACTAAAACTACCTGAAAACACTTTCAGGCAGAAATCTCACCGCAAATGTGAACTTCAGCACCTCCGATAAAGCTCACAGACCCAAACAGAGCCAGTTTGCTCCTCAGTTTTTAGATGGTTATAATGCAAAACTCTACTGAAACATTGTTTTTCAAGTTTTCTCTTTCAAATTTATAACCTTAGTCTCAGAGAATATTCAAGGTGTTTTTGTCTTCGCTCCGTAATGTTTTTTATTTCCACCTACAATGGCCCTAATGCATCGTCATAGGAAGCCGACTGGCTGCAGGTCAAAAACAGAAGTAACAGATCACTGGCAGCTACATCTAAGATCACACACTCAGTAACAAACACACTCACCTGTTCCTCTTTGTTGTTTATGATCACCAGATGTGCTCCTCTACTTTGACAGTCACTTCTGCTCTCATACCAAGTTTTCGTCTCATTGGATTTAAAGTAACAGCTGAATCCAAATCTCTTCCATCCTTCAGGACAACACTTCTCTTCATGTCAAATGAGTGTTAAAAGATGGATTTCATGTCATTCATTGTTAAATTGATAAAACTTGTTGTTTGACTTTCTTCTTAAATATCTTTTTTGCCTGCCACTTGTTGTTTACTCTATAAATACACTCAGGTTTTATATCTGATTTGTAACAGAAATAAAAGATAAAAGAACTATAATTCAAAGTAATGGTGTGATGTTGGTGTTCACCGTTCAACACCTTTAATTTTGTCCTTCAGCCGCTTTACTTCATCCTGATTTTCACTCAGTGTCTCGTAACTGCTCTGTAACTGACTGATGTTCATCTTTAGAAAACCGTAATAGATAAAAGAGTAAGACCATATGAAAACATTTATGCTTGATAACAGTGTGAAGTTAGATCCTATGTATTACAGTATTTGCTTATTTGTTTTTAAACCTTTCTCACCTAAAAGTTGTCCCTGCAGCTCGCTGTAGTTGTTGTACAGTTTGTCGTATCTGGTCTGCAGCTGGTCTTTTTCCAAAGTGACTGTTGAGAAACAACATAAGAAACACCTCAACAACACCAACTCATTCACTATAAACTAAAGACAGTTTAGTTACTTTCTCTGCATAATTAAAATCACTCTAATTCAAACCATAATTTAGTTATTTAGTGTCCTTTAACCTGCCGTGTATGTGGAGATGTTGTAACAACTGGATAACTGACTCGCTCATGTATCAAGTGTGATGAAGAACCAAAATGCAGATCAACACAGTCAAGTAACTGTGCTTAAATGGCGTGAAAGGGTACATCCTGAATGCGGTATATTCAGCTGCCATAAAGAATAGCTCCAGACTCACATGCCATTTGATCAATAAAATGATTGTTTTGTTCATGGCTCTGAAGTTTTTCCCCTCCTACCTTGACTGCAGTGTAAACAAAATGGGACATAAAATCTTCAGTCTTTGTCGCGTGAACAAATGTTTTAGGTACAGGCAAAGCTAGAATGAAGCTTCATTAGTCTGAGTTACACAAATTGAAGGTTTTCCTTCCAAAGTTCATGTGTTTTTAGAAAAATGATCTTGATTTTTATAACTCAGACTTCTGAATTCTCATAATAGCTTCAGCTGAAAGTTAGAATGTACTTTTAAACAGATAACTCTTTCAGCGTGCATATGGCAGGTCAGTTTTATTTGAAGATGAACAAACAAAACAGAACCTGTCCTTTAAAGTCTGAAGCTGGTGCTCTTCACCATTTGAACAAGACCGTCTCATCTTCCTCCAGCTTGTTTTATTAGGCTACGTTCAGACTGCAGGCCTTAAAGGTGACTCTGCAGAGAGTTTGTAGATATTTGAGTCCAACGGCCAAACAAACTCATGGACACGCATTGCCATGGTAACCAGTCCTACTCTGCTGAAATATAGCAGAATCCACAACGTCTGCTGTCCGAGAGCAAGTTAGCTTCAATAAGAGGGCATGTTTTAGTGGCACGAAGTCAAAGCTAACTTTGGGGCTAACCTCCTTCACTCTTAATTCAACAGTTGGCAGCAGCACACGTAAGATCCTCTTTAGTCCGGAGAAGCTGCAGTCTTTATTCACCGGCCTCTGGAACTTCTACTGTACATTTACTGCTGAACAAGCCTTATTGCTGACCCGTTTCTCTCTATTCACCGAGACACCCGTTCACGCTCACGCTCCGTCTATTCCTCCTCTACCGCACACAGACTGACCGCTGAGGCAAAGCTAACAAAGCTAACCAGCTGGGATCATCACAAACATGAAAACAGACAGACATGAGGAAATATTCATTGAATTTAACTAAAACTGCATTGGATAAGAATTGCAAAGCATCCCTTTAATGCTTAATTCTGTTTTTTTTTGGCCTGCAGTCTGAACGCAGCCTTAGATCTGGTTGTGGAGAACTGGAAAGTACATTTTAGTGTAACTGAGCAAACTTTGGTGGAAAACATTTAATAAATGTGCTTCATAGACCAGTTGCAGCAGTTTTTCTGCATTGTGAACAGGTTCAGTTTTGGTTCTCAGTAGTTGTGGGGTGTATTTTATCTTACAACTATGTATAGGAGGATGATTCCAGTTATGGTCAGAAAGCACAGCACTCCAAGACAAAATGCAGCAGCTCTGAAAGGCCTGCTTTGGACGGCTGGAGGATGATTCTCAGTGTGCGGTCCTAAAATGGCAAAGCACACAGAGAGCGGGTTCATTAAAGGAAAACCACATGCGTCATGTTATCATTCCCCACACATAACATTTTAGTCAACAGCTTCACTGCCTTCATCTGTGGTTGTTCAACATCTGTATACAACTGTGAAATGGAGTCTTAACATTACTAACCACTGATTATTTTACCAAATCACAAAAAGACTTTTGTGTTGACCAATTATTGTGATGTAAAACAAACATGAAGTCATCTGAAATGAAGAGTTTTAAAAAGTTTTAAAATGCACAACTGACTCATAACTAAAAGCTGTTAAACTGACTTTGCATCGTCTCCTCTTGAGTCTCTCTCGGCTCTGTATTAATAACTTCTTCCTGTTATGTGGTTGCACTTTGCATTCGTTTGTAAAGCTGTCTTTACTAGAGTTGATGCTTCTCTAGATCTCAGAAATAATTTTTCTTAATTAAACGTTATCATAACCACTGTTGGTAGTAACGTGTTAAAAAAATAATACAGTTACAGTAATGTATTGCTTTTTGCTGTAACGCAGTAATATAATGCATTACTAAAAAAATCAGTAATATCATACCCGTTACAATCTCAGTAACGCGTGTTACAACGCATTTTAACCCAAAATTAAGTCGGTGAATTATTACAAATACAAAACTAACACCGAGAAACATTTCAGCACCAGAAATACAAATCCATGAGTAAAGAAGTAATATTATTTCCTGTTACTGGAATCCGAAGGTCGAGATTATAAGCAGGGTGCAAACTACAGGGGAGCTCGGCTCCTCTTAACAAGACAGTAGCTTCCCAGATGGGTCATACGTAAATAGATCTCTATAGGCTGTGTGTTTGTACTTTAATGAATTACTTTAATGATCAGAGAGGCTGCTGTCAGTTCATCCTGACCAATCCTGTCAGAGTGTCGGGGGATTCAAATAATCGGTGACATTATGCTGCTGTACCTCGTGTGTAAATGTGCACAGCGTCTTTCTTAATGGGGAAACGATTCATCCTGTTTCACCCAACCAACCTCGCTACTTATCAGAAGGTTGATTTCTATGACAGAGACCCACCTGATCGTCGGATATAACTCTGCACATCGCTAGAACCCACCTGTGCAGACACAGCTTGCTATCAGAATAAAGCTCCCCTTAAACAGCAGAGAAAGTAATGCAAAGTAAAGCAAAAGTAGTTTAAAGCATTACAATTCAGAGACAGTAATATTGTAATATAACCAATTACTTTCAAATGACAGTAACCAGTAATCTGTACTATAATGTATTACATTTTGTAAATAAGTTGCCCAACACTGACCATAGCCAATATGAATCATGACCAAAACATTAGATCCAGGTTGTGTTCACAAATACTTGGTGGCAATTAAAATTCAGCTAAGGTGGCAGAAGATTTCAGTAACAGAACAGCTGAAATAAGTAATTTATTAGAACATAATCCAACCAGCTACAGGAATACATGCATTACATTATATGGTAGCAACCTTTGTGTTTCCTGTAGTTATTTGGATTATGTTCTGCACTGTAGATAAATAGAAACAAACATAGACGCTAATGGGCTGCAGTTCTGTGGGATTGGAAATCAACGTGTTACAAACTGAGAGTAAACTCAGAGGTCACACATTAGTCCAACATGATTCAAACAGACGATCACACAAACAAGATAAACATTATTTTTTATATCATTGATTTGTCATAATTTCTCACTTACCTCCGTCGTGTGACTGAAGATCAGTGTGATCATCTCTGATATCGTCTGTACTCTCGTAGATAGCCACCGTTCTTTCTTCCCACTCTACGTTGTCCTCCTGCACCTTTCTGTTGTATCTCACCTTCTTTGAGAAATCTGGTTTGGCATAAATATCTGAGGACATCTTGAGAGGACTGAGACAATTCATTCAGCAACAACAATATGTATGTATTAATAGACCTAACCACATTTTTTTCACACCTGTCCCACCTTCTTTACCCCTCACCCACACACACACACACACATACATACAGAGCAGATTAACAGTTTGGCCAAAACAGGAAATGTCAGTCATTTTCTACAGAAAAACTTAAATCATTTCCCAACCAAGTTGTAATGTTTAACAAAGTTACAGTGACAATCATAACCCTATGACAATTGATTAGAATACATATCCTGCTTTGGAACAAGGTCTTAGAGCATCTGTCTGTCAATACATGATTTAACAACATACTTTTACTACTGTGGGGCAGATTGAAACTGAAAATGACTTTGACGCCCTCACATTTCTGTTACTGCCACCATCTGGCCAGTTCTTCCAATGGTACAAAGGAAACCCTAAAATATAAAATCAACTTTATGCACCACACTAAATGAACTTGATTATGACCTTTCTGTAAGTACCCTCAGGACAAACTCATTACTCTGAGAATAGCATGAAAGTCAGTATGAGTGCGACTTCTAACACGGTGTTATTTGGTAAAGTCATGAACATTTTCTGATTGCCTTTATTATGTAGTTTTTAAGGGAGGACAGCAGGAACTATGGATAAAGAGAGGGAGAAATGCTGTGCATTAAAGGTCCTTTCAAATCCATTACATCACAGTTACATGGCACACATGTTGGCCTCCATGATCTCCAGGAAACTCTCAATAGATCTGTTTCTCAGAGAGCCATTGATTGGATCCCGTCATGTTGTTTGTTCCTCGCAGATTATGCTGTGGACCCGCGTCCGACCTCAGGCTTTACATTCACTTGTACCTGCCAGAACCAACAGAAGAAGCACTATATTGGTATAGGGAGAAGCCACAAAGCACATGGAATTATTGATGTATGCAGTTCTTGTGCTCATAATAAGGTGTTATGGACTAAAACACCTCTTCATATTTAGTTTCTTTATGTCTTCGTATGTACTCTACAGAAGACAGAAGAGTTTTAAAACATGAAAAAAGATTTTTTTATAATTACAAATTAAAAACAATATTTAGCATGTTCAGCTTCCAGTGAAGAGGGCAGCACAGAGGAGGGTTAATATGAACATGTTGGTGCACTCGTGTGGTGGAGCAGTAGATTACAAGTTCATAATACTGAGCTTTAAAGAGCCAAGATCAGCAGCTTGAACCTCTGTGGCTTTTCACTTCTTAAATATGAACCAAAATTCAAGTTCATTTCACCACAACAGCTACACACCACGCACAACATGTTGCATTGATGTCAAATTAAAACTATGGGTTGAATTGTTTAGTGATAATTATTGTATGAACACTGTCGGCCTCACCCAGGACTAATTTAAAATAAAAATATTTAACATTACCTTGAAACACAATTGAGATGGAGTGGTGTATAAAGACCTTACATAATGAACTGTTTTATTGCATTGCCTCCTGCGAAACTGAACATTATTACTTGAGCTGAGAGCAAACTAACTTTACATGCTAACAGTACACTATTTTGGCAGTTATTCATCATTTAGTAATACTGTTACACCAATGAAAGATGCTAAAAGGTCTACATAATACTTATAAGTCAACTGTAAAACACTGTTAGATTATACTTCATCACAAGCAGGAAATATGTTTTTCCTAAAAATATACTAGCTGTTTGTGACCTTCTTGCCACAGCTCGCATCGATGTGCCATCCTGGATGAGCTGCACCACCTGAGCCACTTGTGTGGGTTGTAGACTCCATCTCATGCTACCACTAGAGTGAAAGCACCGCCAGCATTCAAAAGTGACCAAAACATCAGCCAGGAAGCATAGGAACTGAGAATGGTCTGTGGTCACCACCTGCAGAACCACTCCTTTATTGGGGTGTCTTGCTAATTGCCTATAATTTCCACCTGTTGTCTTTTCCATTTGCACAACAGCATGTGAAATTGATTGTCAATCAGTGTTGCTTCCTAAGTGGACAGTTTGATTTCACAAGAGTGTGACTGACTTGGAGTTACATTGTGTCGTTTAAGTGTTCCCTTTATTTTTTTGAGCAGTACTTATACAGGCTGAGTACAGACAAATAATATAATTCCATCAATATTATACCACTTATGTACAAATATAATTTAGCTGAACCTCTAATTTGAATGTACACCCACATACACACATTCAGTTCTTTTTACATTAACAGTAATATTTAGTTTTGATTCTACAGTATTTAACTTACGTACATCCATCCTGTGTTGAAATATCAACCTGATGGTCTGTGAAAGTCTGCACCTTAATAGATTTCAACCAGTCTGTCCACTCTCTGTTTTTATTTTCTTGCATGCAGAACGAGAGCGTGTAGGTAGTTTCTCAACTGACTGCGCTTAACATAATGTTGATATTAAACAGTTCTTCATAACACTAGATCACAGTCAGTGACAACAATTTAGAAGGTTTACCATATTTATTTCTACAGTAGCCACGTATGGCATTTGCATTGTAGTTGAGGTTTGGTCAACATTATGCAACTTAAACACTTACCCAGAGGTGTAGGTATAGAGAGTGCAGACTGTGCACCCAGCTGATCTTTGATAGTTGCATGGTAAAAATGTAAAAATGCATCTAGACTTAATGAGTAGACTCAGAGATTGCCTCTTACCTTTATGCTGACAATGAGATCAAGTGTTATATATGCCCTCAAATGTGAATATCCCCCTTTTTGGGGTGGCAGTCAGTAGTTTTACCCACAAAAGTCTGAAGCAAATGCCATATGTGGCTACTGTAGAAATTAGATTCCATAGAATGAATATTGTCTTATTTTCTTTGGTATTCGTGTCACATAGCTCAAATATGCAATGAGGATTGCTGGGTAACATACGTGTGGCTGCCCAATCTCAAGTTTATATTTGATCATGTGACAAGACGAGACAGGAGACAAAAAAACAGGATGAGAAGGTTGCAAAACTCCCAAATAATTTTGGATTTTTGGACAAGGACATTGTCAAAGATTTTTTTAATGCAAGGCTCGTCGGATGCAAATACATTGTCTAGGTGACATAGAGACTGGTTTCTTGTATACAAACACTACTAGATGCACGCGCAGCCAGGGGGCAAAAGCGCTTCGGTAGCTGTCAGAAGAATGTAGTCAACAGCTGGGATCAACGTAGATTACGCATTGTTTGTAAATTCTTGTTGACTTAATAAACTGCCATTTCAGAGATGGATCTTTTGTTTGTGTCTCATTTCGCATGTTTGACTGTGCTGCAGATCAGCGAAACCGGACCTAATGTTGAGGGAGAACGAGGGAGAGAAGTGTTCTTTCCACAGCTGTAAGTACTGCCATTAGGCCTAACGTAGCTGTGTCACCCACAGAGATGCAAAGAACATGGTCTTCTGTAAACGTTTTATTGAAGCATCTGCTAAAGCAACATGAAACTTAGCCTGCTAACATTACTGCCAGTGATGCATCCACTCGGTAGGAGAAAGTGGCGTTAATCAACGTTTTGTGTTTTGTAAAAGCACTGAATACTTCTCTTATAAATGCATGTGCAAAACAGTAACGTTAGTTCATTGTTTGTTTTTATCTCAGACAGTGGCGTTAAACATTATATGCTTCATAAAAATCATCCTCATTGATGCCTTTATGGGTAACATTACGTGATTAGTTTAAAAAGTTGGGAGAGACTTGTTTTGTTTTTTTCTATTTCAGCCAGTGAGGTTAAGAAATGTCGTGTACTGTAAAAATCATCCTCATGATGCTGTTATGGATACGGGATCATTTAATATGTCGGGAGAGACCTGCTTTGTTTTTTAATTATTTTTAATAGCCTGCTATAACCATAGCCTATATGATGCAGACTCTCAGACCAGAGGATGCTGCATCATGTGTTTTCATTTGGGCTGGTTGTCGACTTCTCTGGTTAATTATTATTCCAGTAAAGTGGATTCATATCTAAAATACGCTGCTGAACAGGTTTCCCGTCACTTTTAAGTATGGGGTGCGGTGGTTGAACTGTTGTAACTGAACCCGTCTATACTGACTCTAAATCCATCATGTGATGGTATTTTAGCAGCAGCAGTGTGCGTGTGTTGAACATAGAGCTGTTCAATTTAATATGTTAATGGAAAATATTAATTTAAGGAGCTTTCAATTAAGGAGATTAGATATTTACTACATCTAATCTTATCAGTTGTTAAACCGTGCACAGTGAGGAAACAGGGCACGCAGATTTGCCCGTATAGGGTTCCCTTCTAGACACGAACACAGTGTATGTGTGCGTGTGTGCTCTTTGTAACTGTGGAGCCCAGGGCCCAGCAGCAGAGCCTGCACTGGGACCCGTTGTTACTACCTTATGCTACTGCTTGTACCCCATTTATACTTGGCCAGTTCATGCATCTTGCGTGGATTAGATTGATTTTGATTACCAACAAAGCCCAAAGTGTAAATTCAACTAAGCAGTCAAGATAGACTGAAATCTGATTTACCATCAGATGCATCCTTCTCTCCAAAACACATTCATAATCTTCACTCCTCCCAAGTGTAACTACATCAGTAAGTGGTCTGTTCAGTTCATCTCTATGAGGTTTGTTCCTTATGATAATGGCTCAAGTAATATTGAGAGAGAAATGATCCATTTCCAACCTGTCGTTACGTATGGACGTCTCCAGCTATTTAAACATGGACTGATTATGATTCAGCTTGCATATAGGGCTGTCGCAGTGAAGTAATTTCCATGTTAGGTCTCGACATGTTGAGCGGTATCGCATTTTTCATCAATGATTAATTTGTGCATATGCAGGTCTCACTCACTGCACGCAGCAGCTAGCTGCTGCGTGCTAGTCAACATTGCCAAGCAAACTCCTTTTTGTAGTTTGACCATGTCTTTTTCAGACGTAGCTATATCATTACCTTCAGGGCTTGTCTATCAAGTCAATTTACATACCGCAGCAACGCGTGGCTTCAGAGTTTGAAGTCAATTATTGCGACAGCCCTACTTGCATACATAATTCCTAGTCATTTAGAAGCAAAACTTGCTATTGTGACATTTATTTGGTCCCTGATTGGTGCAGCCACTGAACCATCTGTTGGTGAGAGAACATGAACACAACAAAGTGTTCCTTGGAATTTTTTAATACACAGTATATTACTAAAAATATGTGGTATCTTATTACCCACGAAATCTTACTTTATCTGATCTTCTTTTAAATTCAGATTTGGATTGTATGTGTCATGAATGCATCTAGCCTGTGTCGCATATTTTCACATAAAAATCACAGACTGATCTAAATTATTACAAGCTAAACTAATAACAACCTCCCGAGTCAATGTCTTATTTACTTTTATTAATATCCCTGTAGGGCTGCAGATACACAATTCACATGTAGATGTGTGTGACCTCCAAACAGGCTGCTCACTCTGTACTAGAAGTCTGAAGTTTTTGTAATGTTTCATCCTACTTTTTAAATATCTCTATCTCACAGATCCAGTTCTTACGATTATAACGTTCGCTCTGTGTCCATTCTCCTT